TCTAGGCAAAATCCAGAGCTGTCTGGGGCATCTCATTTGAACCTAGTCTTTATGATCTGGTTCAGGATTATCAGAAGACTTCACGCTCAGGAGAAAGGTTCTAGCTTCCAGATATGGAAGCTGTAGACATTGGCTACGTTTAGACCCCAAACCCACCAGTGCTGGATTCTATCCTTCCCCAGTGAATGTTCCCAAATCAAAAGAAGAGGATAGATATATGTATTCCCACTGCTGGGAAGCAGGAAGAACAAACACAATTCACAGATAGTTAAGAGATCCATAAAGAGTTAATAAAACAAAATACCCTAAATATGTTACTAATCACAAAGACTTAAAATAAACCCCCCAAGAATAATGATGTTAATAAAACTTGACCCCTACTGAATTACTGTATTTGTTTACTATGTTTGTGATTCACATACAGGGAACAAGACGCTAAATTACTAATGAGTTCGGAATTAACTTTCTTTAGTGGTGGTTTAAAAGGAAGAAAAAGGTTTTGGTCTGTTTTCCCACAGGAAAACTAGGTATCAACCATGGAAAACAAACACCACTCTATTAGTATAAGTAGAATGTAGGTGAGAAAAGAATAACACACTTCAGAAGGTCACCTGATGTTCATTCCTTCTCACTCAAGGGGGAGGGTCTCTCCTACAGCCTGGCACTCACATTGCACTTCCCCAAACCATAAAATGATTTCACACCTCTCCTCAAACCTCTGGACCTCACTCTCAGCTGATGGTCCTGCTTCCTACCTCACTGAGGAAATTAAAACAATCGAAAGAGCACGTCTGCAGATCCCCACCAACACACGTACCTAATACTGCACCTGCACTCTGCCTTCAAGGCTCTTAACAGGGCAGAACTATCAGTGCTCCTGCCCAAGGCCACCCCCTCATCGCACGCTTTACCCCACCCTCTCTCACCTACTGAAAACCTCACTCCAGCAGTTTTTCCTTTCCACTGGATCACTCCCTTTCATGCACACTGCGATGTTCTATGTGCTAACACGTGTACACACATATTTGGTATTTCTACCATCTTAAAGACAAGACCTCTTTACCTCACTTTTTTGAACTGTTCCTACTCCCTTTCTTTGTCCTGACCATTGGCAATGTAGCTTTTGCATTCACTACTGCACCGAAACGGTTCCTCCCAATTACCAATAGTCACACTGCTAAATTCAGGGGTCAATCTCTAGTCCTCCTCCTACTTCAGCTGCATCTTTACACCACTGATCTTTTCCTTCTCCTTGAAATGCTTTCTCCTCTTGATGTCTAGGCTGCTACACACTCTCGGTTTTCCTCCTGTCTTCCTTCTGGCTTCTTCCCAGTCTCCTCCTGCTGCTTCTTCCTATTCTGCTGGACTTCTTCATGTTGCAATGCTTCCAGGCCTAGTGCTCGGTACTGTTCTCCTCTCTATCCACACTCACTCACTCGGTGATCCTACCCAGTCCAGGCCAAAGCCATCTCTAGGCCAATGGCTCCCAAATGCATGTCTGCAGTCCGGGACTTCTCCCAAACTCCAAACTCACACAGATACTTGCCAGCTTGGCATTACCACTAGGATGTCGGATAGACATCTCAAACATAAATGTCTAAAACTGAACTCATCATCTCTTGCCCCAAATCTGTTCTTCTGCAGATTTCTCTATTGGGTTTATGGCAACTTCATCCTTCCCACTGTTTGGGCCCCAAACCTGGAGGCATCCCCAACTCCTATCTTTCTCTCCCACCTCATATCTGATTCACAGTCAATCCTTATTGGCTCCACCTTCAACATTCATCCAGAATCTAATCATTTTTCACTACCTCCACAGCTACTACTCCAGTCAAAGCCACCACCATCTCACAAGGATTACTAGAATAGCCTCCTAACTGCTCTTCCTGTTTCTAACCTTCCCTCCCCCGTCTACTCTAAATACAGCAGCCAGAGCTTATTTTTGTTTGTTTAACTGTTTACTATGGAAATTTAAAAACCTATATAACAGCACAGAGAATACTAATCATGACCCCCATATACCCATCAGCCAGCTTCAATAGGAATTAATGTATGACCAATCTTGTTTCATCTTTAACCCCCACAGTACCCTGCCCCCAGATTATTTTGAAGCGAATATTAGACATCATATCATTCTACAGAGTGATCCCTTAAAAACACAAGTCAAATCATGTCACTTGCCTGCTCAAACCCTGTCAGTGGCTCCCCCTTTTTCAACTGAGAGCAAAAACAAAAGATCTCATAAGGGCCCTGGAAGCCCCACACCAGGGGCTGGCAGACTATGGCCCACAGACCAAATGCGGCAGCTGTGTCTGTTTTTGTGTGGCCCAAGAGCTAAGAATGGGAACTAAGGATGTTTTTACATTTTTAAATGACATAAAAAATAAAAAGAAGACTACTTCATGACACGTGAACTCATATGAAACTGAAAGTTTAGAGTCCACACAGTTTAACTGGAACACAGCCACGTTCACTTGCTTAAGTACTGCCGGTGCTGTCTCTGTGCTCAAGGCAGAGCTGAGTAGTTGCGTCACAGCCTGTAGGACCTGTAAAGCCTAAAACATTTACTCTCTGGCCGTTTACAGAAAAAAACCTGCCAACCCTGCCTTAACCAGTCGAGTTCCCATATGAGCTCTCTGATACTCTCTTCTCACTCACTCCTTTCTAGCCTCATTAGCCTCTTTCCTGTCACTCAAACAGGCCAGACACACTCCTATCTCCGATCATCGGCTGATCCCTCTGCCGGGAATATTTTTACCTGAAATATCTGCATTGTTTTCTCTTACCTTCAAGTCCTTCCTCAAATGTCGCCTCTACCATGAGTCCTACTCTGACCACTCTATTTAAACCTGTAATGCATGCCCCCTACCCCACACTCCCCACCTTCTGACCGTACTCCACATTTTTCCTTTCTATAGCACTTCCCATTTTCGCATGCACCATTTAGTATCTATTCCTTATTCCCTATTTCTCCCAACTCAAACCTAAGTTCCACGGCACAAGGTTCTTTGTTGGCTTGCTGATAAATCCCAAGTGCCTAGAACAGTGCCTGGCACACGATTAGGCACTCAAATATTTGTTGAATAAACGTAATTCTTTATAATAAAAAATTTAAGAGTCTTAATTTGGTATGATCTTTACAAAATGCAGACTCTAAGCTCTAAGTAATAAAAGTAAGAACCATTGCCCTGCAGATGAAAAACCTACTCCAGAATGCTTCCGTCATCCATCTGTTCATCCATCCATCAATCTAATATTTACTGTCTGTCTGCCATGTCAGGGGTGTGGGGGATCTAAGGATGAAACAGTCTGAGCTTACAGTCTACTAAGGAAGATAAACCTCAGATAATAACTCAGACAGTGTGGCAGACTGTGGTAACGTGGGGCTGTAATGCCAACTCAAGTCTGCTAAGATCAAGGCCAGTGTTTTCTTTCACCACAGTCATGCTGCCAATTATTAACTATTCTAAAAAATCCTCCTTTAAAACAGGAAAGATAGGGATAAAAATGCAGGTACTACAATGAAAGTAAGTAAATTAAAGGATATAAGTTCAATGTGCTATTATAAAATGGCTAATAATGGGGCGCCTGGCTGGCTCAGTTGGTGGAGCATATGACTCTTGATCTTGGGGTTGGTTGTTTGAGCCCCACGCTGGGCATAGAGATAACTTAAACAATTTTTTTAAATGGCTAATAATTATAAAAACATGGAAAATATTTCATTTTTTTAGTGGGGAGAATGAATATTATAAACAAATCTATGATACAATTAAATATGGATATATTTATTCAATAAACACTAACTGAGCACTGACAATGGGCAGGCACTCCCCTTTCTGCTAGGGGAAATCCAAGGAAGAATGATGCACAACCTTGGTCTCCAAGGGGCTCACATATGAGGGGCAACCAGGACAGAACTTAGGAAAACCTAAACAGGCAATGCATTAAAGCTAGTAGATCCTGTGGGATTAGTGTTCCCTTAAATTGTTTTCCTTTGTAACGGCTGTCCTTAAATAATATCAGCAGAAAAAAAAGTTAGAAAAAAGGCAGGACAAAGTATCCAATTCTGTCACATGTAAAAAATGAATTTAAGAAATTAAAAGGGTCTTTGGGGCCCAGATTGTGTTCTTTAAATACCATTTCTCAGTAAAAGAACCAGGTTTACTTGGAGGAGTGGCTGATCCCAGGTCTGCAGCAAGAAATCTACAAGATGAGCCAGACCGCAAGAAACCTCAGGAAACACCCAGAGCCACTGTCCCTAAGTGATGACATCATATGGCTCCTTTTCTGTGAAGAACCTTAGCAGGCAATTCTAACTCTAACCAACCTGTACCTCCTATGCAGGAGGCCTGGAGTGTAGAAGGGTCAACCCTTCTGCCTTTGCCGGAGGTAACTGGCCTCTGGCAATCTCATCCACCCCACCCTCCACTGTCACTGCTGGGGGCACCAGCAGCTGCTTCCACTTCATGCAGCTGTATTCCTGTACCCCAGACGTCTCTGAAAACTCTACTTGTACTACCATATACAACAAATCTGTCTGTGAGAGTGACTCTCAAACCTATCTGGCAGGATTTCTACATTTAGATGCATCTTTCCCTACCAAAATGAGTTGTCCTTAGTCCAGCAACAGAGTCACTGGTTAAATCATCCTGGAACCTCAGTCCATCCATAGTTGGTGGGTGAGCTGCACAGGAACACGGGCCTGGTTGTTTTAAGAGTTATGGCTTGTTTCCACCCAGGATGGTATCATCTAGCTTCAGAACTCACCTAATTCATCAGAGATCTGACAGCAAAGGATGGAAATTAACTACCACCATGGATGAAAAGAGTAGGCTGAAGCGTCCAGAGGCAATGTCTAAAAAAATGGCTTCTGGAATGGTCTGTACAATGGCAGAGCCCTAGGAGTGAGTGGGAGGCCTCCCAAGTAAACTTTCGGTTACGAGGCGGCTGTCACTGGCAAGTTGAGACTGGCCAATTCAGTGGTGGCCTTGGTGACTTACCTGAATACAAGCCCCTGTCTTCAACTTGCACAGGTTGCAGACTAAGGCCCATCGACTGGGTGGGATGTGGGAGACCTTTGTGATTGGTTCCATCCTCTCCGGACAAGCAATGCTGACCTACAAATAAAACACCACCATAAGGCAGAGGCAACAAGGCATTCCAGAAGTACCTTTCGCAAACCACAAATGATATCGCCTGAAGCTCAGAACATCAAAACAATGAGGTGAGCCACATCTCTTAAGGTTACTATGGAACCAAGAATAAATGAAACCTGTCCCTTGCCACTGCTCAGACCTTCGATCATTCCCAGTAATGTAAATGATTCATATACAGAATGAGAGGGCAGGAGTGGAGATGGAGCATGGTTACCTTAATGAATCCAAGATATCTATACTTTACTTTGGAACCAAAGAAAGCCACTAAGGAAAGGAATTAAAATTCACAAAATCTAGCATCTATTATATGTTAGAGATGGTGCCATATGCCTTGTCATTTAATTGACTGAGGATAAAAAAACAGGCAGTGACAAGTCTTTCAGTTCAGTTTACCAAGAAACATGATACTGCTGGAAAGTAGCAGCTATCTGGGTAATGAAGAGGTTGCAGCACATAAGGAGGAAGGATGAGGATGATAACATTTTCAAACCCCAGTCTTTTAAATCGTGTAACTATTAACAGTTTGCTCTACTCTTTCAGCCAAAGTAGCTTCAAAGTGAAATCAGTCTTTGGGAGAGTACTGAAAGGAAGGCAGGCTTTAAAAAGAGATGGAAAACATTTTTTTCCATATGAAAATAAGGGGTTAGGCAACTTCTGGTAAAAAGTGTTCTCCCGCTCTCTTACAAATGTGTACATGAGTTTCTAAGAGAGCCACAACTTTAAAAAAGAGTGAAGGACTATTGAATAAAGCTAGTTAAACTAGTACAAGTTCTACCCACATCAAGAAACCAACAGCAGAAAGATCAGAGCGATCCTGAGCAACTCAAAAGGTACTAAAAACCCTAAGACAAAGTCAACAGATAAAAAAGCTTCTTTTAGGGGCGCCTGGGTGGCTCAGATGGTTAAGCGTCTGCCTTCAGCTCAGGTCATGATCCCAAGGTGTTGGGATCGAGTCCCACGTTGGGCTCCTGGCTCATCGGGGAGCCTGCTTTCCCTTTCCCTCTGCCTCTCCCCCTGCTCGTGCTCGCTCTATCTGTATCTCTGTGTCTCAAGTGAATAAATAAAAATTAAAAAAAAAAAAGAAAGCTTCTTTTATTTCTAAAGGACTCTTCCGGAGCCATATTCTAAATTCATGCTAAGAAAGCCTGCTCTATTAGCTGAGCGTTTGCTGCAGGAAACCAGTCACTCTCAGGCCAGAAACCCGAGAGTTCATGTCAGTCTATAAGCTGGATATTCTTAGTATGAAAAAGAAACCATTACTCAAATATTGTAAAAAACACTTCTCTATCCATAAGAATACCATAGTATTTATCATGGACAGTTTGACTCTGTGAGCTTGAGCTCGACTGTTAAATAGTTAACTCCCCTGGAACTGCCATTAACAAGAATAAAGCCAGGGAAGTTTGAAAAGGGGAATGAATTACCGATACAGTGTCATCAGCTACTGAATTCTAAAGTCTCTCTTGCCCTATAGTTAAACTGCCTAACAAATTTGCTGGCTTGGATAGGGGTTGGGGAAAGAGGATGTGAGTGGGATGTTCAAATAGGTTAAAAAAAAAAAAAGGCAGCCATAAGAAGGACAAGTAATGTTTGGACACTCTCTTTAATCAACTTAGTGCGCACACAGCCCCTTATAAAATATCAGCAACTGAAGGACCAGATTAAATAATGAGGGATGGAGTTTTGAATGAAGCAGCTCTTAGACAAACGTTGAGTCCAAGCTCTGAAAAGAGCTTCAAAAATCAAAGGGCAACCATTATAGTGGGCGAAAGAACTATTGCTCACTTTATTTGGAATAGCCTAACACTGGAAGCAACTGAAATGCCCATCAAAGAATGGATAAATAAATCATGGTATATCCATACAGTAGCATACTACTCAATAATAGAAATGAATGCGTGTTGATACACACTACAACAAGGAGTGCTAGGCAGACAGAAAAGAGTGCATACTGTATGATTTCATTTATATGAAATTCAAAAACAGACTCAGCTAATCTATAGTGATAGCAATCGCAAAGGTAAAGAGGGACCCAGAGAGGGACTGGAAAGTGGGTATGAGGGATCCTTCTGGGGTGCTCTATGTCTATTTCTGGGGTGTTCCAGGTCTTGGTCGGGGTTGTGGTTATAGATAGGTGTAAAAATTCATGAAACTGGGCACTTCGTATTTGGTATTTTAAGTAAGTTTCACCTTAAAAAAATCTGCTCACATCCTGGTCTTTTGTGCCTCTCTTCTCATACAAACTTACCCAGTAGCACTGGTATCACCACCTGTAAGTGAATCAGCACAGGCTTACATGCTCACTTGCATCTGAGAAGGATGTGAGGGAGCTCAAGTAGAAGCCCTATCACCTCAGAAACATGGGCAGGCATGAAGCATCTCCACGAAGCCCAAGCCAGTCTGAATGTTGTAGGAAACAGGGGCCTCCTGGAGCAAACGGGCTCACAGGCCTGGATGAGTTCTTACCTCTGGAATCCACAGGGCACAGCTGACATGAGCCCATTTAGTCCCTGTCCTGGTAGTTTTCATGGCCCCCCCTTTCTTTGGACATAGCAGACATTGCGGATGAATGCCCAGGACGCAGGAACGACACAGCCAGCTGCCTTCTGGGACCTTGAGGATGCCGTAGCAGGCCTGGAGGCACGAGGAGGAGAGGGGAGAATGGTTAGCATCTTCTCACCAGGAATGATGTCTGCTCTGGTACACAGTCACAGAGTACCCTCCACTTTCAGGAGAAGGAGGCAAATAAGGCCCAACAAGCTCATATCTGGGATTTAGTAATTTTAAAACACTCAAAAAAAGGGCAACTTCCAGCATCTGTTCTAAGATCAGCATGTCTGTCTATGAGAACTGACTTTAAGGACAAAAGAATAAGACTAGAAGGAAATATATACAAAGGCTAGCCCAACTGTTATCTGAGTTTGGGGATTACATACTTTTTTCCTTTTTTGCCTCTGTTTTCTAAAGTTTCTTCAATGATTATGTATTATACTTATCAGTCATGTATTTATTGAATAACTTCTACATGCCATGCACTGTTGTAATCAAGAAAAAAGTGTTAAAAAGGAAACAGAATGAAACTTCTGAACAGCAAATGAGCTAATGTTCAAAGAGCCTAACAGAGCCTGGTGCATAAAAAGCACTCAGCAAATCACAGCAATTACTTGCTTGGGTTGAAGAAAAAGGGACTTGTGAATGAATCCTGAATTGAATAGAATATTAGACTAATCACAATACTCCATAATGAATTCTGAAAGCTGCTTCAAATCCTTTATGGAATGAAGTTGGACAAATAAATGAATTACTGGGGGAGGGGAGATAAGTTTGGAAAACATTCTAGATTTCCTTTTCACTACCTCCAATCTCATCCATCTTTCCCCTCCTTACTGCTCTACTCTCACCATGAAGGACTAAACGTGGGGGCCACCTGGCTCCCCATGTGGCCTGGTATACTTTCCACCACTGACCGATTCACCAAGGCAGCTTCAAAATCTGTGCCTACCCCAGGAGGTTCACCCATAGCTTGGATTCAGGTTCCAACGGTTACTATCATGTTACCCCCGAACTGGCCCCTTTTCCCTAAACTATCCATATCACCACCATGCTTCCCAGCTTCCAGATCCAAAATTCCTGTACTCATATTATCTACTTCCCTTTGTCTACCGCCCCTGGGGCATGCTAGTCCTCCCTACAGAGGTGGCCCTTAGGCTCTGACCTTCCTCTCCATCCCCACCACAACTGCTCCATCCATCCAAGTCCTTATCATGTTATGCCTGGATTGATTTATTCTTAAATTCTCTTCCACCCCCTTCACACCTTCAATCCTCCTTCTGTTTGGCTGCCATGTTCTTCTTACTAAAACAAAGATTTCATTCCATTGCACAGCAACAAACCCTCTAGAAATTCCTTCTGCTCTCACCCCGCCATCGTCTAAACCACAGGTTGGCAAACTACTACTTGAGGCCTGTTTGGTAAGGTTAACAAGCTAAGAATGGTTTTCATACTTTTAGAGTGATGTTTAAAAAAAAAGAATACGTAACAGAGACCGTATGTGGCCCTCAAAGTCTAAAAGATTTACTACCTGGCCCTTCAAAGAAAAAGTCTGCTGGCTTCTGATCTAAAGCCTGATGTTCCTCACCTCACTTCTCAGTTCATAGAGCCCCTGTGTCTGCTCCACTTCTTGACCCCTGCCCGCTACTCAACATATAGCTTCCCTCACCAGGTACGTGGTTGGCAACATGTATCCTTCTCTACTTTAGCTGTTATGTTTCATCTCCTCAGTGAGACTGTAAGGTCACTGGGGTAGGTCTTTTATCATCAGTTATCTGGAATGCTTTCTATGCTGAGATCAAATAGGTGGTTTGGTAGAACAGATTAATTTAGGTCAAGAACTGAAGCTGAACTCCAACCAGGCTGCTCTTACAACAGTAGGGCATCATTTTATAAGGTTCCTGACCTTCAAAAGGTTTTCTTTCTCTGAGGTCCAGAAAGTTTGCTAGGAAATGAAAGCAAGCTTCCTCCTAAAATAGAACCTGTTTCGGACCAGCAGAAGAAAAACCAGTGGTTCTGGGAATACCCTTTATCTCCTGGCCCTTCCATTGGGCAGAATATCATTTACTGAGCCCTTGTGTAGACTTATTCATGGTGAGCTTGTATTGCATAGCAGCGGTTCTCAGTTTTTTCTAGACCACATGATGAAGGCTGTGGCCTCTCCTGAGAAAATTCTATACATGCACAGACATATGTTCTACATATACTTTCAGGGGGTTAATAAACTCAGTGCCAAACATATATATGACAGATATAAAAAACTATGAGCATGTACCTTCAGACAAATTAATTTAGGCCTCAGTTTGAGTGTTCAATACCTGGGCTAAGAACCAAAAATGGAATATACAAAGGGACTTGGAATGCTCCCAATTTTCACATTTTTAATGTTAAAATCTCAAGTCTATTGATGTAAACCTCTCTTCTAAAATACTGACACAAGTGTGTTATAGTCACAGAGGAACAAACATTTGACATAATGTGGTGGCAGTAAGGAAGAAAAATTATGTTTAATAAATACAGATGTCAGCATGTCCCTGATTCTGTTAAGGAGTAAACCAAATCCTCCAAATCATTTTAAGTCACTCTTCAGTCAACAGAGGGAGCTCTAACCTAAGTATCTCTTTAGAAGTCAAGTGGCTATACTCACTTTGGAAGAAATCTCTTTTATATGAAACTTTATGTGGTACCAACATCCAGCTTTAATACATACCAGCTTATATTCTGCAAGGCCTGGTCAGGTGTTACTGTCATCCCTTTCTACGTGAGGAAAGCGCATCATTTATAGTCATTACTGGATATGTTTTCAAAACAAAATCATCTTTGAGGAGAATTATTAAGCTACATTTCATTTTTTTAGTCGAGGAACCTGAAAATAATTCCTTAATATTTGGTCCCAACTGTGAAGGACAGATACTGAAAATATATACAGATAACCTTTGTACTATTTTCCCTTCAAGCCTACAATCATTTATCTGAAAACCCTAGGGTGAGAAACATAAGGAAATTCAGAATTGCTCAGATCTTAGGAAAGTAGGAAGTACATACATGGTATACTACCTAAACCCCAATGGGACCAGGGGCAGTACCCGCTTATCAAATACATTAATACTATTCTAGCAAACTACATGAGCATTTATACAAAATGGGATAAAGACTATAAATAGCCCCATATTGGGTGAGTTCTAGTATTGCCCCTAATCAGTTTTGGTGCCAAACTTAAGCAAAACCTTGCAGTTTTCAGAGCTTTTGAAATTTCTGGAATGGTAGAAGAAAGACTGTGGACCTATATGTTATCAAATATTTAAGTTTATACCTAAATGATATTTCCTCTCTTGCTAAAGGTGTGACATAAATGCCAGTAACTGGTAGAATGAAGATGAATTTTCGAAGTTCACTCTTTCAAAGGAAACAAGTAAAATGAAGAAGAAGATCTAACTGGTCACAGAAAAATTTTGAGTACCTTTTAATACAGAGGGTTGGGTTAGGTGGCCCAGGCAATTAAAGTGAAGTCGTAAGCCCTGTTTTTTCTCGATCTCCTGCGTTACCTCATCATTTTGCTTTATTTATTTATTAAAAAATTATTTTAAGTAATCTCTATGCCCAACATGGAGCTCAAATTCATGACCCCGAGATCAAGAGTCACATGCTCTACTGACTGAGCCAGCCAGGCACTCCACTGCGTCTAATCGTTTTAGTCATTTTGTAGCTAGAATGACCTTTCTAAAATGCAACTCCTAGCCTTCAGGGTTGACAGGACAAAGCCAAAGTTCCTTAGTCTGTCAGCGAAGGCCGGTCACCTGTGGCTCCGGTATCCCTGTCTACCCTCGCTCTCCATCCTCCTCCACTCCACCCCACCACCTCCCACAGCTCTGAACGGCTCCAGAGTTGCCTCCCGTATACTTAGCCCATTCTCACTACCCTGCCTGAATGGGTTCTCCTCTCTGCCTGCTGTTCTTTGTGGCAGTTAGAGTCAGCTTGGATGCCACTTCTCCGAAGCTGTCCCTGACCCCCAACCCTCCCACGTACTCTCTCAGCAGCAGGGACTTCCATCCACAAAACCAGCTGGCACACTGTGCTAAAGGGGCGGTACCCTTGTAGCCCCTATACCGGCCTCTGGTGACCCCGGGGCCAAGACCATGTCTGCCTCTTCGTCACTGACTGTGTCTTCAGCATGTGGCACAGTCCTGGCACAAGGCATGGTGTTCCATACCTATCTGCTAGATAAATTAATGAGAGAAACGAAACACACAACAGGTTCAGAAGAGTGAAAACTTACTTAGGGTAGGGGAGTTCAAGAAAAGATTTAAATCAAATCTTGAAAGTTCTACAGATTTTTTTATAGATGGAGGTGGGAGAAAGCATTTTAAATTGGAGTCTGGCCAAAACATGGAGACAGGACAGTGTCAGGAACAGTCATCACTGTCCCCTTAAGTAAACTTATTTCACTGGAGCATACGGCTTATGAGGGGAAGAAAAGGAAAGAGCTGAAAAGAATGCTGATATCATCATCATCATCATCATCATCATCACCATCAGCAATTAAAAACGCATTGTGGTAGAAAGGATGACAAATAACTAGCTGTAAGAGCTTGGGTAAAGTCACTTCATCTTTCCTGATATTATTTGTAAAACTGAGGAGTGGGATGGTCTTTTACAGTCCTAAAATTCTATGATCTTTAAAAGCATAGCAGACTCAGCTTCCTGGGAGTTATATATCGGGAGGACTGGAGAGGGCTCTGGCTGCTAGGATAAAGAGTCTGGACTTCCACCTGGAGGAACTATAATCTCATCAAGGTTACTAACCATGAGTGTAACTTGATGATGTAACAGGGATTCAAAGGTGAAGGAGAGACTCCCAGGCAAGCAACAAGGAGACTCCCCAGAGGACTATAAAAGTCTTGAACAAGGCAAACTCACTGGCATATGTGTGAAGGGATACAATAAAAATCTGAGTTTAGCTCCTGGGATAAAGTTAGCAATTAAATCACCTTGGGGATCATAAATATTGTTTCTAAAGGAATTACTGAAGAATAGCCAGGCCAAATCTTTATTTTCATCCTTATTAAATGCAAATTGTTACCCAGATATGGGTGCTGGAGACCATCACTGAGCTTCAGAAAGGCTGACCGTGGGGAGGTGGTGGTCTCCACTCTCACTAACCTGATGCACACAGATGTTACACTTATCACAGAACACCATATCATTCCCTTCTTCACTGTCTGGAGACCGGCACACATCACAGATCACATCTTCATCATACTCTATGCCTAGCCCTTCCTCTGTCTCAATAGCATGGTTCATATTTTCATGGCAATGGCGTTCCAGGACTTCTACTGTCTTTTCCATAAGATTCTCATCAACTGGCCCACAACCTGCACAGAAATACAAACAATCAATCAACCCATCAGTCAGCTGTCATTCCCAAATCACCTACTGTGAGTCCGGTGCAGGGATGGAGGGATTCTAAAAGATAAAACCATCTCTTCCCTGATCTAAAACAACCGGATTTCAAAGAATCTTTTACTAGAGCTATTCTAATATTTACATATCATCACACATTAGTGTGTGACACATGGAAGGATAAATACATTTTACCACATTCCTTGTAAGATGTATTACTGACCCTTTCACAGTTTTCTGTCTACATCCTAACCAGTCTCCTCCTAAATCTCTGTTTTCTCTTATTCCCACTGAGGGTGAACTTTCACTGAGCTTTATAATTTTGAACACTTTAACTTACAGAATAAGATAATTAGGATTACATAACTATTTGAACATAAATAATAATTCATTCTTAGCATGTTAGTCCCAATGAGCATATCTAACGAGTATATGAGGAAATTTTCATACAAAAAGGTATTAAGTCATAAAAGAAAATTCTAGGTACTGTGTATGTCATTATATATATGAAATAATTTGTTTTTTAAACCTGGCTTCCAAAAATATCCAATAATATCTTCCAATGGCAGCTGTATATAAAAGAAATCTATTAGAATCCACAAAAGTCTAACTGCAAATTCTGAAATTACCTTTTTTTTGCCTCTTGATTCCCTTTCCTTCTATACTTTTAATTTTTCTTAGTCTTCCAAACTTAATAAACCCAACTAAAAGATTTACATGTGGATACAGGCAACAACTAAACATATTTCTTTTTAGGGGACTAATGATTTTGTGAGAGCATATATATATATAACAGCTTGTAAACTCAGGAATAATTCTGAAAATGATCCAAAACAAATTCACCCAAATATTCCACTCCATGTCTTATATAAGATACACGAAGAAACTCTGGAATTCCATGTAAACTACGTTTTTAGTGTTGAAGATACTTATGAAAGCAAAAACTACCCAGGTAGTATGTTTCATTTTACCAGCCAAGACAAATTACACATTTTTTTTTTTCTGGAGTGGAAGAGGACAGTGTCTGGTTGTAAGAGCACTCAGATTCAAATTCCAACTTGACCCCATATTGGTTATGTAAACCTTGACAAGTTATTTATCCTCTTTAGGGATTAGTTTCGTTATCTATAAAATAAGCATCATAATACAAACTCACTGATTTCTTGTGAGGCTGAGATGAGGTAATGTTTGTACACTGCTTAGGTATAGTGACCAGTATGTAGTAAGCACTCAATTTTTAAAATTCCTTAATCTGAACCAAAAAATATGCTTAATTTAATGTTTTTAAAAGTTTATTTTAAGCTCTTAGAAGCCTTACTACAATATAATTTACTCTAAAGAGTAAGACTTGAGATAAAGCAATCCTCTTTTAAAACTCTTCAAGCCTAAATGCAATGTGGTGTCCTGGATGGGATCCTGGAACAGAAAAAGGTCATTAGTGGAAAAACTGTTGAAATCCCAATAAAATCTAGAAGTTAGTTAATAGTAATGTACCTGTGCTGGTTCCTTAGCTTTGACAAATGTACCATGGTCAAGTGAGATGTTATTAACATTAGGGGAAACCGAAACTGTTAGGGGCATATGGCAACTGTATTAAATGTATACTTTTCTGTAAATCTATGACTATTCCACAATAAAAAGTTGATTACAAAAAATCATCCAAAGGGGATTAACTGCAAAATACCAAAGGGACCTTATCATAAGGTGGTGTCATGTTGAAGGGAGCCCTGTAATGATCATAATGTATACGGATGTCATATGGTTCATAAATACAACTGCACACTGAGCCATCAATCCACTTGATGATGCTCTTATACTCTGATTTCCCCTTCTGTCAGTCTTTTATTCTCTTCCCTTTGTGGTTTGCACCCTAAGTTGATATCCCTTCTTTCCTCTTAGAAGGCAGAGTAAGAGAAGGCTTAAAAAGTTTAAAAAAAATAAGAAGTACTGGTTACTGACAGAATAACTACCACCATCACACCAAACTGGATTTAATACAGTTTCATGTTTTTATTCATAGGCATTCAGATACCAACCTCAAAAGGAAGAGAGGGAAAATAAGGGAGGGAAGGAAGAAAAGTAAAACCATTGATCCTTGTACTAACGATGTACAAATGTGATTCAAACAAAAATGAAATCAATTGTATGCTTCTCTGTATCTCATATGGAGACTTAAAAACCACCCATAGTTCCATAGGACTATTTGGACCTAAACACTGCTCAGACTGAAGACTGGTCAAAGAGCTGTGTGTAAGAATAAAGTGAGTTTCCTTTCAGCCTAGCATCTCCCAGCATTGCCGGTATGATGCTGTAGGACATACATTTACTTTAAACTATTATTATGTTTACTTCCAAGATTTTTTTGTTTGCTTGCCTTTGCTTAATTTAAGTTTTGAAGAATTGCATGACAGCTTCAGAACTCACTAAAGGTAGTGAGGTAGCTAAGAACTGCACTGGGGATGTTTTGCCCTAAGCCTGCCATTCTTCCGGCAGGAAAATTACTAGCGTCGCCTGAAGGCATTGCTGGTCACACCGACCTGTCAGGTGCAGGGGTGCTGCCCCCTGCTGAAGTCAGAGCTTCCCTCCAGCCGGCAGAGATGGCAGAGATGCTGCTGTCCCTGGCCCTGCCCACTGACCAGAGTGCTTTTCAGGGCTGAGCCAGGAACCAGGTTCAGAATCCTCCTTAACCAGAAGTCCAATCAGCCATGACCACTCTCACAATTGGAACTGGAAAACAATCTTATGAAACCTACATGCCATCCCTGATCTGTGCTATTCACCATGAACAAGGAAAGAAAAGGTCAGATTTAAATGTTATTGCTCTACTTCAATATATTTATGCATTTCAAGAAATGCCTCATTAAGGTAAGATCAAAGAGAAAACTAAATGAAAAGGCCAGAAAAGAAAAGAAGCCACAAGATGAAAGCAAGTTAAATGGTCCTGACAACTTAAAAAAATCACGAGGCAATACAAGGAACAACATACTTGTGGGAAAACAACTCACCCATTTCTGCGAGATCTTCATTGAGTTCCTGGAGCCAGAAGATGTCCATGTCGTCTAGGTCATAGCGACACACAGATGCTGCCAACTCCATGATGTTGATGTAGCCAGGTTCTGTGGTTTCCGAGCTGGAGCAGTGGATGTACTTCCGGGGCCGCATATACAGAACCTCCTTTACCTTCTCGGCTACAATCCTAGAAAAGTGAAAGAAAGATACTCATAAGTCAACAAACAACAGATTCTAGGCACTGACTGGGTGGGACACAGTGGAGTTGAATGCTCTCCTTTTTCACCGTGGGGGGGAGGTCCTCGCTCTGCCAACTGAGAGGTATGGCAGATCCCCTTCTAGAAAGTAAATGGTTCTACAAATTCAGTTTTGTCATCTGCTGTGAACAGTCCGACTGCTAATGTAATGTTTCATTTACCCTCATCGCTCCTGGGTCCCTATTAACATTCATTCTAATAAAATGTTGCATTGTGTGTTCTTGGGGCAATAGCCACCACATTTGGTTAGAAGGGGAAACCGAGGAAGAGATAATACCAGCACAAAGGCACAGCCAGATTCCATACCAAAGATATATTTCAGCTAAACCTATGATTTTCTACCACGGATGGTGGTAAAGAGTACAGGCTATAGACTCACACAAGCCTGTTTTTTTCTGCCACTTACTCGCATAGTGATCTTAGGGAACTACTTCATTTCTACAAGGTTCAGTTTTCTTAGCTAAAAAGTAAGGACAATAATCATATATTATGATAAAACAGTATCAAACTTATAGGGTTATTATGACAATTACACAAAATAAAATATATAAAGTGCTTAGCATAGTGTATAGTAAAAAACAAATGTTCAATGTTATTGTTATATTTCTTATTATTTTCACTACTTATGTAGATGAGGTAAAGCCAAGAGGCCATGGACTTATAAAAACTCCAGGCATTTCCCAGCCATACATGATAGTGACCAGTTTGAGCCAGGGTAACATGATGGGATGAAAGATTCCTGTTCTTCCATCAACTTCTCCAGCAGCCTGAGGAAACCCGTATTTCCCCTCCCTCCTCCTGACACTTAGGAGCAAGGAAACCAAGCAAGGGAAGAAATAGAAGTTTCTCATACCAATAACTTATTTTATAGTCAATGTTTTAGATACTCCACAAAGCATCAGAAAATACAAACAACAGGAAATATGGATTCTTATTCCCTGGCAAATTTAAAAGAACAGAGCGGGCCCTCTAAAAAAAGAGAAAGAAATAGATATATGTATCATAAAATAATGAAAATTGTTTCTCTGGAAGGCTTCTGGAGCTAGTTTCTTTACTTGAGTCACTATATATGTAGAAGGATTCATAAACATAAACATATTCATATGAATACATATAAGTATTTATAGGTATAGTCTACCTTGTAAATATACAGTAAATATTTCTTCCTAAGCATTCTTCCAAAAGGTTATGATTTCACATAATATATGTTGAACAAAGTTAATAACTAAATGCATTTGCACATTTTAATTTTTCTATCATATGGAGTTTTTAAAGCCAAAGGCAACAAATATTTGAGGAAAAAACCAGAACACTAAAATATTAATTGAAGCTAAAAATTTGGGAACTGCTGACAGAGGCCTGCTTCCAACTGAAATGAACCCAACTGAAAAGAACAAGACATGCATATGAATTCTCTAGAGACAATGAGATTAAATATGCTATGCTTATTTGGTGCATGGCCTATGAGGTAATTATAGACTATATAATTTTTTTTCAAGATTCATCTTGTTCTAAAAGGAAGAATATTTTGCTAACTATTCATATCAATTGTCTCAAATCCTCTGTGGAACAAGGTAGACTATAAATGTTTTTGAATTAAACTAATATGTTTTTTAAGCTTCTGGAAGAAACCTCAGGATAGGCAAATATATATATATATGTATATACATACATATATAAAATATATATTTTAAAGTTTAAGTAATCTCTACACCCAATGTGGGGCTCAAACTCATGACCCCAAGATCAAGAGTCACATGCTCCTCTGACTGAGCCAGCCAGGTGCCCTGAAGGCAAATATATATATATATATACATATATATATATATATTTAAAGATTTTATTT